CACTTACCAGCAGGGAGCAGGCCTAAGCTGCAGTCGGACATCCTTAGCGCTGCTGAGGAGGCGGGAGAGGTTCCTGCCACCACCACTGTGCTGGCAGCCATCAGCCTGGCTTGTGGCTGAGCAGAGCTCCCCTGTAGGAGCGCACTGACCACGAGGGGGCAGCTCCTGCATTGAGCATCTGCCTCCTGGTGGTCAGTGTGGTCATAGTGGCCAGTCATTCCCAGTCGTTCTGCTGTTAGGTCTATTTGCATATTACCTTTTTATTATATAGGATAGTAAGGATATTATAGCTATTATTATTATTAAGCACTGGACATTGTGCTAAGTGCTTATACCCATTATCTCATTTCATCTTTCCCACAGCCCTGTAAAGTAAGCATTTCTAGCCCCATCACTGAGATAAGAGAAGGCTCAGAGAGGTTCAGTGATTGCCCAAAATTACACAGCTGATAAATGGGTGAAAGTAGAATGTAAACCCAGCTCAGCGTTTTTTCACAATGCTTTCAAATGCCTACTCATAGATTGCCCATATCAATATAAGGATTTTGCATTATAAGTAAAATCTTTACTTTTTTTATTTCACAGTTACATTGCTATATTATGTCTGACTTTCCCATATCAGTGGCCTTCCTCTGGTGTAAATATGTGGGTAGATTACAACGTGGCTTTAACAGTGAGGAAATAAAGATGCATTAGACTGTGGTTTTCCTTACTAAGATTCAGAAGGAATCAATCACCCCTTGATTCTTCCAGTATTGTCTCAAAAAAAAAAAAAAAGCTGAAATAAGTTTGGTCCTTCCGACCTTCCAAAATCTTCAAGCCCTGCTGTTTTTCCAGATAACAGCATGGTGAGGTCAGTCCATAGAGGCATTTCCCCGAGTTCTAACTCACTCCAGCTTGGTCATGTCTATATGGCAGTCCCTTGCTTTTGATACAAAAGTCTATCTGGCTCCCGATACTTGCCTTTATAGCCCATTGTTAAATTTTTTCATTATATTTCTCTGTTATTTATATATTTCACTTGAAAGTATTATTTAAGTGGTTGGGATAGCTTCAAGAAAAAAAGTATTGGGTGGTTAGGGATCCCCCATAAGATAATTATAATTGATATTTTATATTAATTCTTGTGGAAATAATTCACTATCTTAATTTTCTTTTCACTCTAAGAATGTAAGTCCTAATTTTTATTTTTTTATTTTAGAGAGAGAGATGCATCAACTTGTTGTCCCAGCCCTAGCCTGTTTGGCACAGTGGATAGAGCATAGGCCTGCGGACTGAAGGGTCCCAGGTTCGATTCTGGTCAGGGGCACATGCCCGAGTTGAGTTGGGGACTCAATCCCCGGTAGGAGGCGTGCAGGAGGCAGCCGATCAATGTTTTTCTCTCATCATTGATGTTTCTATCTCTCTGTCCCTCTCCCTTCCTCTCTGAAATCAATAAAAAAAACTATATTTTAAAATAAATTTTGTTGTTCCACTTATTTATGCATTCATTTATGCATTCAATCCTCATTGAACACACAACCTTGGCATATCTGGATGATGCTATAATCAACTGAGCTACCCAACCAGGGCAAGGATGTAATTCTTGACGAATTCATAAAACCCTTATAAAGGGAGGCCTCATATCTTATCATGAACTCTCCATTTCAACCATCTTCATTATTTCCTGTAAGCAAACCATTCCCAAGCTGCATATGGGCTGTGTACAGGCACAAGTGGGCATAGACACACAGGTGGTTTTGTGGTCTCTCTCTCTCTCTCTCTCTCTCTCTCTCTCTCTCTCTCACACACACACACACACACACACACACACACACACACAGCAACTTTCTTGTTTTGGGGTGGGTTGGGGTTTTGTGTCATTTTTTTCCCTGAAAATGGAATTAAACACTTTCCCAGAACATTATTTAAGTGAACTCCAGAGCTCCAAATGAAAGACTTAAATGTTGGGGTTTTCCCAGAGACCCCCAAACTTCCTGGAATTTAAATTTTTTTAAAAAGGGAAAACAAGCAAAACCCTTCATCCCTCAGTTAACTCTAATACACTCTGAAAAGGCAAGTCAACTAGGAAGTGTAGCACCAATATTAACACAGAAAACGTCTGCCATGAGGAAGGAGAACAAGGGGCCACCTCATGCTGTGGCCAGCCGAGGCACTCAAACATTTCGTCAGCAGGACGGCAGCCAGCCTTCCCAGCTCACTTTTATAAAGCTGGCCCCTGGCATTCCAGAGCAAGATGTAGCTGTGCAGTCTGCTTGTCCCTTAGCTACTTCAGAGGAGCTGGCAAAGTGGCCACCAGACCTGCCCGGGAGCCATGGCAAAGAGTGGACTTGTGATTTATGTCCTGGTTATCACCTTGCTCCTGGACCAGACCACCAGCCACCCATCCAAATTCAAAGCCAGGAAGCACAGCAAACGCCGCGTGAAAGGTAAAATACTGGGCTTGCTCAGGGTGGGGAGGGGCTGGACAATATTCATTTTCAAACCCCTCCAGGAGACTGTGCCTGGTGACAGTACCATGTCAGCGTATGGGAATGGCATTTCATGGGACTGAATGACCTTTTAATTCTCTGGAGAGTTTGATATTTAAAAGAATCATGTAATAAGGGTGTGTGTTTTTTTTACAGTGATAAAAAGCTTTTATAATGTAAAAATAAATTCTATATTGTATATCCTTTGTCAAGTGGATTACACAGAATGTTCGTTAGAGGGAATCACCGGGATATGTGGACATCTGGTATTATGAATGAGGAGTCAAGCAGAACATATTGATTATAGAGTACAATTTCACTCGTAGAGATTGTGTGACATTATTCAAAGGTAACTGTGAAATAATTATGATCCTATTAAATGTGTAGAAGATAGAGCTATTGGTAATTGTGACTTCTTTTTTTGTCACTGGTTACCATGTAGATATATTTTCATATCCTGCTATATAAGAACAGTCTATACTATATATTTAAGCTTTTTCCTGTCATAGAGAAATTGAACCTCTCTTTGACTTAAACATATTTTAACTAGCAAAGTCATATAGTGTTTGAAGACATTTTAATGCAAAACTAAATCTAAGAGCAATCTCAAATTCTGGGTGGCTTGAATTAGGTTATGAGATAAAAAGCAAATGCTGCAAAGAACAAAAATGATGGTAATTTATTTACAACATACTGAAACCAAAGCAAAAGGGAAAACACGGGTAATGTTTTATCTCATCCTCTGAGTCATTTTCATATCAGGATATTTTAAGGTAAATATTATGGCACTATTTCTGTATCAGTTGCACTTCGTTATTAATAAAACACACACACACACACACACACACACACACACACACACACACACACAAATACCAACAAGGTTGGTTCACAGATGACTGGTGGATAGAAAGGGGGCTTGTGTTGTGTTCTGATGATAATAAAGTGCGCTTTTATAGAGGAATTTATTTATACAATTTAAGTCTGATGCAAAGTTTCTTAAGTGGAAGCTTTTTTCCTTATAAAATATTATATTGCTTTGGTACCTTATTTAATGAAAGACTGAAATATTTCCCAGAGTATATTCAGTATATTGCTGAAGATGAGGGCAGGGGAAGGAGGCGAGAGAAGGTACTGGGTGATGTGGCACATTTTTGTTGCCAGCATTTCCTCACCAGTGGGAGGGAGTGCAAAGTGGTCACCACCCAATAGGGATGTGGGGAGGGGTATGAGTGAGTGTGAGTGTGTGTGAGTGTGAGTGGGTGTGCGTGTGTGTGTGCGTGTGTGTGTGTGTGTGTGTGTGTGTGTGTGGTTTTTCTGGAGTAATTGCAGTTCAGGTCATAGAGAGCTCCTTCCTCAACCTCCACATACACACACATACACACGAACACACACTTTTTTTTTTTCCTGACTGGGTACACACCTTAAATATCACCCTCTGAAAGCAGTTCGTGCTAATTTTGCCATCAGGTCCCAATAAGCAGATGCTACAGTAGATGGAGTAGTAAGTCTAGACTTGCTGACTGGTTCTCTCCCCAACCTCTCACACCCTTAAACTATTTTAAGCACCTGTAAATAACACTTTATGAAATCAAAGTGAAAGCTCTTTCTCTCTCCCAATCCTCTCCACAGAATTAGCCACTATTAACTACTGGCTAATATTCACAGTTTTTTGAATGCACAATTAAAAATTGATATTTTTAACAAAATAAGAATTGGCTATGCAAAGTGCCTGGCAGACAAACCAATTAATTTCATCTATTAACACTCAGAGATTCATATCTACACAAAGCTTACCTCAGTCATTTTAACAGCCGCATAATATCACACTGTGTAGATGGGTCATGATTTATTTAATCTGTTCTCTTGGTGAACTTCTGTGTGGTTTTCAATCCATCTCTGATTCAGTGCCTCAGTGAACTGCTTGTACACACATAAAGATACTCGCTGACTTGTGATGGGGTAACATCCCGATAAACCCATCATAAATTAAAAATATCACCCAGACAGTGTTGCTCAGTGGTTGAGCATCAACCTATGAACTAGGAGGTCACAGTGTGATTCTGGTCAGGGCACATGACTGGCTTGTGGGCTCAATCCCCAGTAGGGGTGTACAGGATGCAGCCGATCAGTGATTCTCTCTCACCATTGACATTTCTATCTCTCCCTCTTCCTCTCTGAAATCAATAAAAAATATTTTTTTAAAGAAAAAATATAGTAAGTTGAAAATGCATTTACTACACCTAGTCTACCAAATATTGTAACTCAGTCTAAACGACCTTAAATGTGCTCATAACACAATATTAAAAACAAAACAAAAAACTGTTAGCAACACAGTATATACTCTAAAATATCTGCCTCTGCCCAGCATCACAAGAGACAATGATACCGCATAACACTCACCCAGGAAAAGATCAAAATTTAAAATTTGAAGTACAGTTTCTACTGAAAGCACATGGTTTTCACACCATTGTAAAATCAAAAATCATAAATTAAAACATCCTATCAGGGACTGTCTATAAGTATATTGATCCCCATGATAGGGTGTTAGAATACATTTCTAGAAGCAAAATTTCGGGTTAATCACACTTTCCAATTGGCTCCCAAAATGACAGCATCAATCTATGATCCCATCTTCAGTGTATGAGATTGCCCCTTGTCTACATACCTTGACAGCCCAACATCATACCATCAGTTTAAGCCCTGCCAACCTAACCAAAAGAACAAAACCTTTTAAAATTTGCATTTATTAGATTGTTAATGAAGCTGAGCTATTTTTCATATGTTTAGTGGTCATTTCTTCTGGAAATTATTTTTGCATCATTTCTACACTGTACCTGTTTTGGAGAACACTAATAATAAAGTAAAAAGGAGCCTGTTTTTAAAAACTCAAAATGGCAATTGAGTGATTTAGTTCCAAACAAAAGCTTTTTTGGTACTTACCATATAGGTCTCAAAAAATTATGTGCTGCAGTAATGAATAAAATATATTTTTTACAGTGAAATAGTTGATCCCTGTGTTCACTGTAGACAAAACATTCACATTTGTCACAAAAGAAGCAGCAGAAGCCAAGCCATCTGGATAATGACTTCCATAATGATTTCCCAGGGGCCTAATATTAATTCTTGTGTCTTTATGTTAATTATAATGTTTACAGCTTCTCTGTGGAGGTCAGTTATTTAAATAGAATGGAGCAGGAAGGTGAGAGGGATGGGGGAATAACATGTACAGAGTTGAGAATTTGTAACTTGGAAGCAAGTCTTCAGGTCTTTACAAGCCTGGCCCCCAACAGCCAATGGTTTTGTTCTCTGAACATATTTATTCTGGATTGAATGGACCCATTGAGGAAATCCTTAGGCTATTTATTTCTGAGCTGAGCTAGTGGATGTTTTGAGAACTGATGAGCAGTATGAAGTGAAACAGAGCTGGGAGCCACCTCTGAGTACCGCAGAAGGCATTTTCCTAACCCAAATGTGGAAAAACCTGGCTTGCAAAGCACATGTTTAAGGGGATGGAGATCAGCGTGTTTGGATTTGGGACTGACTTGAAAAACCCAGGACAGAGCATAGATTCTCTATATGGCCTCTCCACAAGGAGGCATCTGAGGACAGGCCCTGTCAAGCTTTGAGCATCTTCTCTGCCCGAGACCACATGTTAGGGACCAAGCAGGTGAAGGCAATCACTGTACAAAAGTAGATGGGAGGGATGGGAAGAAATGGAGTCAGTGAGCATCAAATCCCGACTCTACCTTACCAGCTGGGTGACCTTATGCAGGTTAATTTAACTGTCTGTGCCTCTATTTCTTGGGGATAGTGATGGTGTCTATCTCACAGGAATATTGAAATAATGAAGCTCTTAGCACATAGGGTATGGTGGCTTTTAATACTTTTTAATATGATTTATTACAATTCCTGCCTTTGAAGAGCTCCCAAGCTGTCAATCTCCAAGACAGTCTCCATCAGTCCTGAAATTTTGTTGATTCATTCAACAAACATTATGCGTGCCTATTATGTGCCAAGGGATACCCTGGATAATAAGACAGATAAAATTAAGTAAAATAATTATAGATTGGAGAAAGTGCTTTGAAGAAACATAACGGTTCAAAGAAAGAGATTAGCCACAGGGATGCTAACGTAGAGAGGATAATCAGAAAAGTTTTCTCAGAAGAAGAGATGTTTACACTCAACAAAAAGATGGATAAGAGTGTTCCAGGCATAAGGAACCCAAAGGAAAGGATCCCAAGATGAGATAGCTTGCTGTAGGATGCATCTGAGAGTCAAGGGGTCTGAAGCCCGGTGGAGGGAGGGTCGCATGGGAAAGGGCTGGAGAGAGAGATGGGAGGCCCATTGCACAGAGGGAACTTCTAGTATTGTTGGTATTATTATCTCCACCAAACCCTTATGAATCTTCCCAGCCAACTTATTTTCATGCTTTATTTTTCATGTACTCTGAGCGCAATTTCATCAAAACCACCCTTGCCTTAGGTTTTGGATTTCAAAGCTTCAGTTTATTTTGTTTTATTTTCATATTATTTTAATCATATGCTTTTTATTTCTCCCTTACCACCCCACCCTAAAATATCCCCAGAAAAGGATGGAGACCTAAAGACTCAAGTTGAAAAGCTCTGGAGAGAAGTCAATGCCCTGAAGGAAATACAGGCTCTGCAGACAGGTAAGACCTCATCTCATCGATGCCTGTCTCAAAGGAGATAGGGGTGAGATTTTGATTTCCTAGCAATTCCAACCATACCTAGAGTGCACGTCAAGTTCTAGGTGACATATTTTTAAAAGAGACATTGACAAGCTAGATGGTCTAGGAGAAAGGATCCAAAAGCTGAGGAGATGACTGGGAAATCAGCTTGATTTTCCACTCCTTTCTTTTATATAGAGATAAAAATAGGCATTTCAATAATACAATTTTAAAAGTCTGTTCAAAAGTCTTCTCTTATAGGCAATGAAACAGAAGTGAAGCGAGTATTAACTACCTTAAATAATTAGCATTCATTGGATGTTTACTAAGTGCTCATTGGGAGATCTGCTGAGATTCAACGAAACAGAGGGCCACAGGACTCAGGCATGTACGTCAAATGCAAATGGAAGGACATTTGGTTAGAACCACCGCTTGCCAATAGAGGGCAGCATCTGGCGTTCCTTTCTTTCTGGAGCAGAGCTCCCAGGGGTGAGGAAATGAGAGCCACACTGGGTGGTTCAGGAACAGCCTGGGCTTGCAAAGCTCATACCCACAGGGAACAATACTCTCTTCATAACTCAAAAGTAGAGCTTCGAGGGTCCCACAAGAGACCTGCCCAATTATAAGAGTTATAGCCTTCAGAGAAGACTGAAGTTACAGCTTTCAATCAAGTGCTTGTAACTCCCAGACCATCCATGTTACCAATTCAAGGTCATTTTTTACCATAAGCAATGTTGCCTAGCAACACTGGTGATATATCCCCGTTATCAGGTTTCCAGGGAAACAGAATTAGAAAGTTAAAAGAAGGTCAAATGTGCATGCAGAAGGGGAGTTTTATTAATGCTTCACCTACATGAGCACATTAATCTCTAACAATTTATGAGATACCTGCCATAGTGATTAGCCTCATTTTACAGATGAGGAAACTATGGCACAGAGAAATTAAATGATTTGCCCAAGCTTTACAAAGCTAGTAAATGTCAGAGCCTGATCCGCCCATGCTTTTTGCCTAATCTATCTTTATGTTTGGTTTATCCTGGGTAACCTAAACAATATATATAGCAGGGCTGAGTTATTTGCATAAAACATTGTCTCTTTCTATACAAACTCAGGCTTTTGTTTTTGTTTTTAATAATTATGAAATATCATTCCAGTTCTAAAAGTCCCAAAGAAATTCAGCACATAGTGCAGCTACAATAACTAACAACCATGTGTATATCAAAGCATCATGAGGTGAAAGGCCATATTTTAAGGGAGGGACAGACCTGGGTATGTGTAGCTGTAATCTTTCATGCTAAGTTATATTTTTACATGCTAAGTTGTTGCAAATCACAACTTTTCTAAGCCTTAATATCCTGATATGTAAAGATGAGAGTAATAAAATCCCACTTCATGGGACTGTTGTGATTATTATATGAGTAAAGTGCTTGGAAAAGATCAAAATTTATCTTTTTGTACATTGTATGTACAATGTCCAACACATACAAAATCTCCAGTAAATAAATGTTGATTTAGCATTACCATCATATATCATTCATTCCATATACTGGTACTTGCCAGGTCCAGTCCTGGATGTCTTATACTCAAAAAGCATTTTAATATTTCAAATCTCACATCTTTACAGTCTGTCTCCGAGGCACAAAATTTCACAAGAAATGCTACCTTGCTTCGGAAGGCTCGAAGCACTTCCATGAAGCCAATGAAGACTGTATTTCCAAGGGAGGGACCCTGGTAATCCCCAGAAACTCAGACGAAATCAATGCCCTTCGAGACTATGGTAAAAGGAGCCTGCCGGGTGTCAATGACTTTTGGCTAGGCATCAATGACCTGGTCACAGAAGGCAAGTTTGTCGATGTCAATGGAATTGCCATCTCCTTCCTCAACTGGGACCGAGCACAACCTAATGGTGGCAAGCGGGAAAACTGTGCCCTGTTCTCCCAGTCAGCTCAGGGCAAATGGAGTGATGAGGTCTGTCGGAGCAGCAAGAGGTACATATGCGAGTTTATCATCCCTTAATAGATCCTTCTCAACTGTATCTTCCAAGCATGATTTATAGGCTAATGGTTCTCAAGAATAAGTTAAATTGTCCATAGGAATACAAGAATCAGCCAATTTTGCTACCATGTTTCATTGTGATTTTTCCCTTCATGGGGCATGAGGGATCAGAAAATAATGATCCAGCTATGTTCACACTGTTAACGTGGCTTCTGCAAAATGGGCTTCAAATCCTCTTTTTCCTAGTCCCTCTCACTTGTATAGACGAGGTCTGTATTAAAAATACAATAGCCAGAAAAGCAAGCTTCTCTTGAAAGTTTAATATATATTTTGTTCATGAGAATTCTCTAAATCAGAGATTCTAGGTGCTATATAATCCAAAACCTTTTTAGTCTGATGCTCAATGTGTTCCATTCTAGCCTTAGTGCCTTGTTAGCCCATTCCCTTTTCTTGGAGTTGCTACATCGCCTGGTAGAACTTGTATCTTGTCTACCAAGTCAGAACATGAATGCCTCAGATTCTCTTTAATTTTTTTCTTCAAGACCCCTTCCCCATATACTTTTTCTTTTTAATTCCCAATCAAGATCTGAAAGGAAATGATAAGGCAGCATATTTGGTCATTTTCCCCTTCCAGCATTACATTACCACTTCCAATTTGAATGGCTAACCTTAGGCAGAACAAGAGCAGCAGATTGTATGAAAAAATGGAAAAAGAAAAAATGTCTGATTTTTCATTGCTTTAGCATCCTACTGTCCTTTATGAAATTGAAGATGTTTAATCTATATCTATCTAGATATAGATATAGATATATAGATATAGACATATAGATATATATTCATTTCTTTTTTACATACTTCATATTTCAATAATCATATATTTAAGTCTATTAGGGGCAATCTATCTTTGGAGGTTAAAAATTGGATTTCAATAAAACTATTCTGGAGTCACATCTCTGTGCAATTTTTCATTCTGCCAAATGCTATTCCCATTAAATTATTTAACTAGATTGTGTAAAATAACTTCATTGCTTACTATGAAATTACAATGTTTAGGCTTGGGAGAAATGGGTTTTTTTAAAGCAAATAATTTTAAGTATATTCTGTACTTCAAAAGCAAACAATTTTAAGTATATTCTGTTCTTCAAATATCATTTTTTTTCTTTAAATATTGAATGTATTTTGTATTATCATTCTCTGCAAACTTTAACTACATGTGCTTGGAATTATGTTTTGGTTCTTTCAATTGTACAATAATAAAGCCTGAATTCTGATCAATCTGGATGTATCTGAATATTGATTATAGTTTCTCAAAATATGTTGGTTTATATCAAATTTGACACAATTCAGGGGGTACTCATGATTTACATGTACTAGGAAAATAATTTTACCTGACAATACAGAGGAAAAGTCTGTGGGGGAAGAGGGGCACTTTAAAAAGAAAATTATATCTGCAATTGTTTATGGTTAACCCTGGCCAATGGGTCAACTCCAATACAATCATAATCTCCTCAAAGATGATGACAATGAAACTGACACCATTATAATTAGCTAGTTATTAATAATAGGAAAGGAGCAAAAGAAAGGCCAGACATTATAAACATTTCCACCAGGAAGCTGCAATTTCACATTCTTCAGGGAACCACCAACCCATTCCTCACAGATTATTGGGGGAAGGGTTCCAACAAATGGGAGATAGATACACACCCAGTGAAGTTGGGGTGACTAGGGAAAGTGCCTGTCAATCAAACCTGGGAACAAAGAGCATTGGCCAGAATGGGTGGGGCCACTGTAAACCCACAAAATTCGGGGGATACATAATCCCCCAAACAAAGGAGTTTGCTTTTCTTGTGACTCTTGGCTTTGAGGCTTTCTTGTTCCTGTTCCTTGCATTCACCCATGTTTTCTCCAAGCTATGTGGCCCTGTGAACCCCACATAAAAACGGACTGATGGGCTGCAGCTTCGAACACACACTAAACTAGCCTAACGTTGTATTGGACTGTGCAGACATGGAATGGAAGCTCTGGACACTGGCTTTGATTCTAGCCCTATTGAAGCCATAGCTACACTTCTTTCTTGGGGGAAGGAAGGGAAATGGGACCTTGGAAACTTCAGGGTTTGATTCCACAGAAAGAAAGCTTTCTACAACATCTCATCCTCCCACGTGACTCTCAGAAAATTCTTTTTCTTGTGATATCATGAGAAGCCCACTCCCACAAGCAACAGATGGGAACATGGACCTCTCCCCACTGATAACAAAATTAGTAGACATTGTAGTATATTCTCATCACATTCCAGGCACTGTCCTAATTTTAAATAATTATTAATCTTTAGAACAACTCTGGGAATTAGGCTCTGGAACAATTTCATTTCATAGAAGAATAAACTGAAGGAGAGAGATATAGTAACCTGTCCTATAAGTCACAGGACAGGAAGTAGTGGAGTTGTAACCAGAACTCAACAAGTTGCTCAGATCCTACACCCTTAGCAGCTATAGGGAGATATGATAAGATCAAGTTTATTCAACTAGGCACTGGAAGTGGACTCTAACCTGTTCTCCCAATTCCCTCATATGGGGTAGCAATTTGGGCAAACAGCTGATCTTGATAAGGCACTCAGTCTGAGGCTGCTTCCCAAAGGGCTGAATAAAGACAACCATGGCTCACACAAATCAGTGTCAGAGTTTGGGTTTCTAGGACATGGAGTTAATAATATCATCCTCCCTGAGCACCCCAATCAGAAAGCTACAGAGAAGAAGCTTAATTCAAAGAAATAGATGAAATTTAGTGAAGGGAAATCAAGATGATTTAGCAAGACAATGAGCACATGGATGAGAGATACAGCGGGACGGGAAGGAGTGGATTAAGGGATTACCTGGCTGGCCCAAGGTCAATCTCATGACCTTGACTTCATTGTTCACACCAATAAGATTCACTAACTTAGATTGCTCTCGGTCTATTTTTGCCAGTTAGGCACTCTTAAGCAAACAATTGGTCTTTATGCAAAATTGAGAAATGGGTCTTTACTCTTAGGCCAACTTTTCTGTCTCCATGAAAGCTGCCTGGACTATAGAGTGGAAAAACATTCTGAAGTTTGGTGGAAAGAGTGCCAGGAACAATTAGCAACGTTTCTCACAAGTTCATAGTTTCTCACAAGTTCACATTTGACACCTAATTGTCATCCCTACTGTAAACAACTGCAGATATCAGTTACATTCAAAACTCAACAACCCTTACCAGGAAGCTGATTCTGATCTCTAAAGCAGTGCTTTTCAAATTTTTGTGCTAACAAACCACCTGGGGACCTTGTTAAACTTCGGATCCCATAGGTCTGGATTGAGACTCTAGATTCGGCATTTGTAAAAGCTTCCAGTGGAAGCCAACAGTACTAGACCACACATGACAAGCTGATAGCAAGGGCCTAACTGTTACTTGCCCAGAGACAGTTTCTGATGGATTCCAGCAATTTTTTTTTAGGTTCTTTTTTTTTTTCTTAATAGTTTTTTTTTTTAATTAAATCTTTATTGTTCAGATTATTACAGTTGTTCCTCTTTTTTCCTCCCATAGCTCCTCTCCACCCGGTTCCCACCCCACCCTCGGCCCTTAACCTCCCCCACTGTCCTCATCCATAGCTGTACGATTTTTGTCCAGTCTCTTCCCACACCCCCCACACTTCTTTCCCCCCCGAGAATAGTCAGTCCACTCCCTTTCTATGCCCCTGATTCTATTATATTCACCAGTTTATTCTGTTCATCAGATTATTTATTCACTTGATTTTTAGATTCACTTGTTGATAGATGTGTATTTGTTGTTCATAATTTGTATCTTTACCTTTTTCTTCTTCCTCTTCTTAAAGGATACCTTTCAGCATTTCATATAATACTGGTTTGGTGGTGATGAACTCCTTTAGCTTTTTCTTATCTGTGAAGCTCTTTATCTGACCTTCAATTCTGAATGATAGCTTTGCTGGGTAAAGTAATCTAGGTTGTAGGTTCTTGGTATTCATCACTTTGAATATTTCTTGCCACTCCCTTATGGCCTGCATAGTTTCTGTTGAGAAATCAGCTGACAGTCGTATGGGTACTCCCTTGTAGGTAACTGACTGTCTTTCTCTTGCTGCTTTTAAGATTCTCTCTTTGTCTTTTGCTCTTGGCATTTTAATTATGATGTGTCTTGGTGTGGTCCTCTTTGGATTCCTTTTGTTTGGGGTTCTCTCTGCGTTTCCTTGTAAGTCTATTTCTTTCACCAGGTAGGGGAAGTTTTCTGTCATTATTTCTTCAAATAGGTTTTCAATATCTTGTTCTCTCTCTTCTTCTGGCACGCCCATAATTCAGATGTTGGTACGTTTGAAGTTGTCCCAGAGGCTCCTTACACTATCTTCATATTTTTGGATTCTTTTTTCTTTTTGTTTTTCCGGTTGGGTGTTTTTTCTTCTTCGTATTTCAAATCTTTGACTTGATTCTTGCGATCTTCTAGTCTGCTGTTGGAACTCTGTATAATATTTTTTATTTCAGTCAGTGTATGCTTAATTTCTAGTTGATCCTTTTTCATAACCTCTAGGGTCTCACTAGATTCCTTGAGGGTCTCATTAAGTTTATCAGTGGTTTCTAGAGAATTCTTGAAAAACCTTAAAAGTGTGGTTTTGAACTCTATATCCAGTAGTTTGCTTTCCTCCATTTCTATCATTTGTGACCTGTTTCTTTGTCTTCGCATTTTTTATGCTTCCCTGTGTTGATAGAGTGGCTTTCTGTGTTAGGTGTCCTATAGGGCCCAGTGGCTCAGCCTCCCCAATTACCTGAGGTGGACACTCTTGGTGCACCCCTATGTGGGCTTTGTGCACAGTCTTGTTGTAGTTAACCCTTAATTGTTGTAGGTATCACTGGGAGGAATTGACCTCCAGGTCAATTGACTGTGAGAATCAGCTGTGTCTGCAGTGGGAGAATTTCTGTGCTGGAGACACCCTTCTGGGGCAAGACTTGCTTCAGTGGGGTTTTGGTGCTCACTGAGTATGCCCCTGAGTGTGTCCCTTATGGATCTTAGGAGTTGTAATCTGGATGGTCCCACTCTGACCACTGGCTACACTGGCTCTTGGATCTCTAAGGAGGTGCTAATTTAGCCTCTGCCTGAGGCTACCCAGCAGGATCCCAGCTGTGAAGCAATGCAGGCTGCTGTGGGGCCTTGGGCCTTCTTTTGGAAGTTCTGGGTTTCTCTGACCCAGCTGCAGTTTGTTAGGTAATTTTCAGATTGCAAAGGGCCAGGCCTTTCATATGCAAAAGCCTCTGCACAGAGCTTGGGTGGGGGGAGGTCTCTGGGGATCAACAGGGCGGAGCAAGCAGCTATGGCTCCTCCTCAGTCCTACCCTAAGAGGCCCCGCTTCTCAGTGTCCCGGTAATCGCTGCAAGTAACTCTGAGAGAAAGCCGCCCTCGAGTTCCGACCGATGCCAGACAGTCCAGTTTCTCCTGTATGAGTCTGGGTCCCCAGAGACTCACCCAGAACTGGAGTTCAGAGAAGTCAGGAGCTTGAGACTCCCTCCTGATTGAAAAAAACAACCGTGTCCTAAGTTTCCAGCCCTTTCCACGTGCGCCGAGTCCTCAGCTGCCAGCCCTTTCTGCGTGCGCCTCCGTACCTCTGCACTTTACTTCCACACTGCACCTCCTCTGAGTCTCAGTGTGCTTTTATCTTTCCTTCTAGTTGTAGAATTTCCACTCAGCCAGCCTTCCTGTGGTTCTGGCTGATGTCTGTTTTCTCTTTTAGTTGTATTTTTGAAGTGGTTGTGCGAGGCAGCAATTTC